AGTTTCAATGTTGCCTCTGTTTGTGCGATTTTAGGTGTGATTACGTTTTCTGACAATATATGTCCTGGTCAATTCAGCTCATTCATGAAAAAACCACATTTCGAGAATTTGAGGGATATATTTTCTTTTTCCAATTTTTCTAACACGTCTGTCACCAATTGTGTATGTTCGGTTTCATTTCCTTTTGAAAGTATTAGTATATCATCCAAAAAGCAAAACGTATTTTTCGTGTTATGTATAGTACGGTGCATAGCTTTTTGGAACTCCGCTGCCATATCGGCTAGACCATTGAAACCTGTAAGGAATCTATAAGTACTCGTCGCATGCCCCCAACGATGTTAAAAATGCATTGTTTCGCTGTCTCTGCAATCAGTTTCAATTAGCTGTACGCATATTTGAGATCAAGTAATGTAAAGTATTGTGTACCTCCTGCCTGTGTAGTTGCAATTTGGCTTTCCCCATCCAGTAGTTCGTCACGTTTGGCATTTGATACTTGTTATTGAATAACTGTCTGTTCAACGGTTTTGCATCTAATGCTAACTTGATAAAAGTGTCTTTTTTACTGCAATGACTATTAGGGCGATAAAACATTCACTTTTACACTTGTCTAACCCCTCAATTGGAATCTCTACCAAAAACGTTTCCAGTCCTTTTTCAACTTTATCTTGTATATGTATCGGGATTCACCTGCCCTTTTCTTGAATGAGACACAATGATTTTTCAACTTCGTGTTTACTAGGTGGTTTATGGACCGGCCTTGTCGGTCGCATAGATCCTTATGACTTGAATAAAATTTTCGTTTCCAACCTTCCGACTGCTCGCACAGTAGCACGTCAAAGCTCGACCTTTCTTTTTGAGCTGGTTTTTGCGTAGTGCTGATCCCCACTCGCTCTGTCATTAGCAATGCAGCATTTCGTACTTTCCAACCCGCAGAGCGTATGTCCGCTTTTAGAATCCCAAGTATCACGATTGAGTGTTTATTGTAATCCACGAACTGTGCTAGCAGCTTTTGGTTTTCTGCTAGGCCAAATGTTGTCTTTTGCGAAAAATCCGAAATTTGTTTCACTGTTGTCCAACTTAGGAAGGATACTAGACTCCCCGTGTCAACTGTCATGTTGATGATCTGGTTATCGATTCGATTTAGTGTTTTTAAGGATTTCATACCTTCGGATTTTATTTTTATCGGCCAACATATTCTGGATATATTTTTTTACCTTATCCATTTGGCGGACATTCGCTTCCACTGACATTATTTCAGGTTCGTTGCACGAGTCGAAGGTTTGTATCCGAATACATTCCTCTTCGAAACTCAGCTTGGCCTCGGTTATTTCATTTCCTTATGGAGATCTACACATCCGGCAAAGCTAATCGCTTTATTGCAGTTTCTTCACGATTTTTCCATGCTGGGCAACTTTAAGATGACTTTCCGTGAAAATTCTACCGCACCAGTTGCATGGTTTTTTTTCTGTATTTGTCTTGGTATTCATCCTCCCTTCTGGTCGCCTTCTCCTAAATTGATCTCTGTCTGGTCCCCTATTGACTGGCCCCTATTTTCTACGGCAATTATGGGCTCTTTTTTGATTTTATTTTGCGTTCATCCGGATTTTTGTATTGCTGATTCAGTACCTGCGTTTGATTTCTGAAAACCTTGTGTTGTTAGCTTGCTTTGCTCGAAATTTAATGCCCGCTGCAGTAATTCCTATGGGCTCAGTGTTTCAAATGTTCACGTATTTTGAAATACGGGGTTCCGCTTTTTAGAGATAAATAAATATCTTACCAACTCGTCTTCTAGTGTATATAAATCGTACTTTGATGCTTGTGCAGGTAGTTCCGCGTGGAATGCTTCCAGAGTCTTTCCCGGCTCTTGCGATCTATTAAAGAGTTTGTATCTTTCATACGTGATACTCTGTGGTTTTTTAAACACAATTTTGGCTAATGTCATGATTTCTTTGAACTCTAGTTTTGCAATTTCCACGTGCGGGTTCTTCTATACAAATCGGTTTTTCCCCTCTGTTAATAAAGCGAAAAAGAGCCTTGACACTAGGCGTTTTCGTACTTTTTAGTCCTCTCTCTCTATTCTTTCTTCGTTTACCAGTAGGACCTTGTATCTTGCCAATCTGTCCCTCGTTTCACGAGCTGCTATGGCAGTTGTATCTTCTCGCGTTTGAGCTGTTTCTGGTCTCGGTTCCGGTTTCTCTTTGACTGCTTTCGCGTCTTCCAACAGTAATTCTAGGTTAGGTTCACGTTTTCTTTTACACTCACAGCCATGAGGAACTGATCGAACCATATCTGAAAGTTCCATCGTGAATCCGAGTTTGCTGTCGCCGAAAAAACGGGAATCACCAAGTCAGTTCGATTGTCTTCAGACAAAAATCCTGCTGGCTGCTCTGTGATAATTTAGGAAACGTCCAGTAACTAAAGATGTACAACAGTGAACTTCATTTGTTAAATTACGCATTTTTAATCTTTCAGATCAATTTGTTTTCAGCTCAATCACTGGCTTAGTTCCATACGTGTGTATGGCGCTGTGAATGAAACATTGTCTCATTTCATATCGGCCTTTATGTTTTTGACAATAAGTAGATAACAAAACAAAACAAAGTACATAGCACCAAACAATCAAGGTTGCTGCAACTACAGAATTTTTGGATTGTAATATACTATTAAAAACGTCGTTTCGGGAACAGTTGAATGATTGAGCAGTATAACCACATTATAGAGTTGAGATAATGAAAAGTCATTTTTCGAGAAAATTTTTTTAACCCTGAGTGTAACTTGGCATCACTCCATCTTGGTGCCGACAATTTCGTAACTTTGTCAAGCTTTCTGAAACCTTTGAAAATCACCATAATTGTCATGTTTCGTAAACTACTTTCGGAAATTGAGCAGTCAAACTCCGAGGACATATTTGCATTCCCTGAGAGAACTCTAACGCTCCCACCCACAGGATTGCTAACTTTGAATTTTATTTAAAAACCTTGAAATGAAAAAATTTTGAAGATTCCGTTGTGGAAAAAGGAAAAAAACTCATGCTTCCACAAATGTGTGGTGAAAACCGTATAAGAACTAGGGAGTTATATTTAAATGTTCACATTGATGAAAAAAGGCACTTCAACGTCCATTTCGGCTTATTCTAAAACGTTGCATTGTGTGAAAACTTTTAGGGTTGCAACTGATTGGTATTTTATCATACCAAAAATAAACTTCTTAAACCTGTTTAAAGCCGCACGCCATTTAAATAACGTATACACAGATTGGTTTATCAAAAAATTAACTCGAAAAATCGTTTATATAATTGTTGGAGTTGGATCATTTAACTCCGAGTATTTAGCTTTCAAAAACCAAATTTTTCTTCCGGGAGTTTTGCCGAAGAAACAGAACGAGAAATTATCAATAGGAAAAGGTCGTATACAATTAGCAACACTGCGGAAATCTTCACAGCTGAAGGGAGAAACGAAGAAAAACTAAACTTCTCTAGGTTTGATAAGGAAAATAAACAAATTAACTGAAAAAAAGTTTCAAAGAATTGAAATGTGCCTCTTGTTGTAGAAAACTAGAAGCTCAGCCGATATAAACTCAAATTTGTTTTATTGAAAAAAATTTTAAAAGCTTAGAACTCATAATATCTCATCTTTGACTTTACTTGATATCAATATCAATATTTCAAGGTTCTGGCGCGTCTGACCTGACAAAGAAAAAGTTCTGTAAGCCATTATTGTTCCGACTTTCGATACAAAAGTAACGGAATACTTGTGCTCGAGGTGAGTTTTTTTTCTTCAGACAAATTTCGACTTTTAACTAGCCAGTTTTGACGGAATTTTTTTTCTCATTCAAAAGCTATTGTTCCCTTGAGCTTAAATTTGAAAAGATATTTCACCTGTGATCATTTTTCGTAAAGTTATGGGGGTTTAAAGATTGCCATTTTGGCCAATTTGTGACAATTAACGCGCGATATCTTTCGCGCTATTGACGCGTAAACGGAGATTTAATCCATCTTAGAAATCGTTCCAAATTGGTTGAAAGAAACTTATTCGTCATGAATAGTTTGTTACTAGGAGCGAAATCTATCACTTTGAACTTTATATGGCGTGTGGGTGGATGATTTTCACAAAAAATCTCAATATTTAGAAAAAAAAAATTTTTTTTCATTTTATTTTATTACATTTAATTTTTTCATATTATTACTGCTCCATGGACCTTAAAAGGCAGTCGGAACAATCATGGCTTCGCCCTGATACAGGCAACCTTGTTTGTTTTTAAGGTACTTTCCTAGTGAGTTTTCATAATATCAACCATCCACACTCAGCTATCATAAACAATTTAATATATTTGATTACAGATAATTTAAAAAGAAATGAAAAAATTCTATAGAGGATTCTGTTGCTGTAAATTTTTGTGGTTTTCTGATATATTGAGTTTTAAAAAATTCCCTTGCCAGAACTTTTGGAACTATTTTTTAAAAATTTCATTGAAAAAACTGATAGGGCGACAATTCGTAGCAGGCGAAAATTCGTATCAGGCGACAATTCGTAACAATGCATTGGCAAGTAGAATACGCCTGTTACGAATTGTCGCCTCACGGACAAAACTACCCAAAATTCTCGAAAAAGTACTTCTGTTGGCAATATATTTTAAAAGAAATTATCAATTTCTGGCCATTCTCTTTCGGGTATTTTAAGTTTCGATGCAATACCTGATCATTGGTTCCAGTAAAAATTTTTCACCGGAACGCTTACAATTTTGGGGACACAGGTTAACCGTGAATCCTCTTTTTGGTCAAAACATTATGAGGATAACAATAAAAATGTTAATGTTGACTCAAATATGAGTCAGATCTCAGCTCAACACTTGTTTTCAATTGATAAGATGCATTTTCGATAGAAACCCTCAAAAAAAATTAAATTACTTAGATGTGATAAAAAATTTCAGCTCGCAAATAGCTTAAAGTTGATTTCACTTCTGATGACTTCTTCTGGAAGCGCTCACTGGCCAAAAAAACGTTCAGCTCATTCACTTTAACTTAGGACCAATATATAACTTAGCAGTAAAGCTTCAATTTTTTAAAGAAATCCTTTGCTACCGCATCAACTATTTCAAATTAGACGTCATAGTTTAAGTTTCCACGTTTTCAGTTTCAGTTAAAATTCCACTTTCAGTAATAATTTCCTCTTCCTCTACCTCTGTTTCTAGGCGTAAACTCCAGATTGTATGAACCCCCTCCCCTTCCTCCAACTCCTTGGTGCTGATACCCTGGATACTCATCATAATACCCATTCCAATCGTGGTCCATGCCCATATTCACAGGGTAATTCATCATGTAGTGTGTAGCATCGTTACCCATGTACTGCTGCATGTTATGGTCCATCATAGGATAATCTTGACTAGTTGCCTGGTTATGCATGTTTTGGTTGTTGAATTGATTGTTATTGTAGTTGTTGTTTCTATGTGCTGAAAACTGTCTTCCTTGGTGACTTTGTTGATCGCCGAGTTTTGGGTAATTATCGAATCTAAAATAATAATCAAAATAAATACGGTGCATAAAAAGTATACGCAAGCAGTTGAAGCCGAGCCATTTAGATGAAAAAGGGCAGCCTGTTTCTGTGCACTATTCCACCCACAAAATTATTTGAAAAATTTAATAGCACTTTAAAATTCTTTTCTTTTTATTTCAAATTTTCTGTTGTTTTTGCCTGTTTTTTGAAAAACTTATCAGCGGCGCAGAAAAATAGGTCAATATAGGACCTTTATAGTAATTTGGGAGAGCTCAAAAATCAATTTGGTCGACCTAAAAAAAGGTCGAAAAAAAATTCAATTTTTTTTGAAAATCCGCCCCCCCTCGAGAAAATCCTAGATTCGCGCCTGATTACATGAATACATCAAACTCCGTGATGAAATAACTAAATGGAGAAATATGAGCAGACAAACGATACTCTTCAATGATAATTTTTTCAAGCCCAACCTTTTCAGCTATAAAAAATAGGTCTTTTGCGGATTGAAACCCAAGGCCTTTTGGTGGTCCAGCCAAGGACATTATCTGCAGGCTAAACCTCCAATTTAGACCAAGAAATCAAATTGTTTACGAGCCAAGGTGTATCAAATGATTCAGGTATTCGGCTATGGAAATTACCTGAGGAAATTACAACGTCCAGCCATGGACATTACCTACACGCTAAACTTCCAGAAATATACCAATAACTGATTACAAAACAAATTATCAAATGATTCAATTATTCACTGAGATATCTAACCAAATCACTGAATCATCTGATAGCTTGTTTCGTAATCATTATGAGTTCTTGGTCTAATGCGGAATGTGTAGCCCGCAGATATTATCCATCGCTGCACATTGTAATGTCCACCGGTAACATCTTTAACCGAATAACTGAACCATTGATAGCTTGGTTCGAAAACTAATTGAGTTACGAATAAGAATGATTCGGTAATAAGCGATTAGATACGTTTCACTGAAAAGTAAAATATCAATGTTCCGATTTGATAACGCTTGCAAAACTCAGGCGTCAGCAGTGTTTCATACGAGTACTTTTTGAGTGTTGCTTTAAAAAAATTAAGAATTGAAGCTTGAACCTGCTCATTGATCATCTTTTTCAAATCTGGAAAACTTTCAAATAAAAATTCAATTATCCATATTTTTCAAAAAAAAAAGATTAAAAAATGTTTGTAGGGTTTTCTATACTTTCAATACGAAATTTGGAAGTTCCCAAGAAAGGCATTGAAAGACCAGAATTGTTCAATTCACGTGAAAATTTTGTACCGAAGTTAACTTGATTGTAAATTTAAATCTCTTCGTCTTTTCGTTCTAAGCACGGTTTTAAACAAGGATAGCCGGTTACTGTGCAAGAAGCACAGAATGTTCCGACTGTAGACTTCGAATAACTACGAGAAAAAGCTTTTTTTCATATTAGTGAAGTTTCTTGAGCGTAGGGTGATAAAAAAAAGTCTGATGTAAAACTTTATTTTAGGCATATTTGAAATTCATAGTAATATAGGCAAATTAGACGTTATTTTTTTCTTAGAAAATTGACTAGAAAAACAAAAAAATCTTTTTTTTTTGAAGTTATTGATTCACAAAATGGAGCTTAAAACTCTATAAGCTTAAAATTAAGTTTTTAGGGCTTAAATTTGACCTAATTAAGCTGTTGTATGCCTGATCATTCGCTCAAAATATGACGAAAAATCAAAAATTTCAAACCGCTTTTTCTCGACACTGGGAAATATTTCTTTAATGCGGTTCGAATTACAAACGTAATGGCTTTAAAATTATATATCATTCAACCCAATCCGATCATTATTTGTGGTACCTGATTTTGCTAGGAAAACAAAAAAACTAAAACACACCCGAATGCAAAGTTCCTCCCCAGTTTCAATGGTCGGAACAATAAAAAGACGAAATTCACAGATATAAGATAAATATAAGATATAAATAGTTGATTAAGTTACTTATAAGCATATTATAATCTGTGGATCAAAAAATTCACCTTGAGAAAAAAAACTAAGGTTAAAAAGGTGGTCAGAATATTCTGTGGTACTTGAGCAGCAACCGACTACTCTTTTTAAATTAATCTATCTGCATCAAGAGAGACAGCGTTTAAGTATTTAAAACAACCGAATAAAAATAATCAATTCGACTAACCCGTCGACGTGTTGATATTGATTTCTTTGTATATTCTGGCCACCCTGATTGTTGTTCCGATCGTAACCGTTGTTTGAGTTTCTATCGCCTCTGGTCCTTTGATCTTCAAAATTACCTCGCCCACGGCCTCGTTGCGAAACCCGTTGGCCGCTTCGTCCCCGGTCACCTCCGTAACTTCCCTCGTTAAAACTTCGTTCATTTCTGTATCCTCTTCCTGCTCGTTGTCCGCCTCTTTCGTAAGTTCCCGAACGAGTATCTCCATTACGAACCGAGCTTGGTCCGAGTCGTGTCGATACAGGTGCCATCGGTCGCGGATTCGGATCCGAAAACTCAATGTCCTGGACTGTCATGTCGTCAATTTTGTTTTGAATGATGTCAAAAAGCGACGCCTGTTGAGACGGCGCTTTAAACTTCGCGTCGTCAGGTCCTTCGTCATACTCGGCATCAGAACCTTTTCGTCCGCGCCGACCTCCTCGGCCACCCCTACCACCGCGAGGTCCTCCAAATGGATCGTCGGCAAAGGGATCCGGTGCTGGTGTATTTCCCATTGTTACTGTAGTACCACTGCTAGTAGCACCATTTTGAGGCTCTTTTTTCTTGGAATGGAAAAAATCACTCGAAGGCAATTGAGCTGTAGCTCCACTAGTTAGACCTTTCTGCTCAGTTTTAAGTTGTTTTACAGCCTCTAAATTTTGATCACGAACCGCCCCAAATTTGGCATCGGTTTCAGTTTTCTCAGCACTTTCTTCCTCTTTCGTATCGCCTTTTCCCTGTTTGTCTATTTTCACATTATCAATTGCACGTCCAAAAGGCACAAATTTTGGCGCACCAGTATCACGAATCGCTTTCGTGTTGAAATCTTTGGTGACAACCCACTTTTCATACATCTCCTCAACCCGACCTCCGACAAATTGGACATTAGCCGCTTTTATAAGAACCAAATTATTTCGAACAGTCAAGTCCCCTGTTAAAATAATTTTCGTTCCTGGAGCTGTATCGACGCTTAATAATTTTATCGGTTCGACTTCAATTAAGTGATATGTGTGATACCCATCACTCACCGAAACTTTCAGCATTCGCGGGGCGAAATTGTTTTCTGGACTTACTTTTGGTGCCGCTGTATTTCGCACACTGAGAACCATAAACCCAACAGGTCCTTTTCTCAGAGACGAACTTTTCTTCGAAGAGTCTTCGTTGGAATTCGCCCACGGATGCTCTCTGCTGTCTTTTGATACCACTTCAGTAATTTTCTCATTCAGGACTAACTCGTCGATCAGTATTGATGTTTTATGATCATTTTGAGCTCCTTTCAAGTCATCAAAGATTGAAGGCTTCAAATTGAATGAAGTTTTCAATAATGACAAACTTGGAGGCATTTTATCTGCAAATACAAACAGAATTGACCTACGAACACTCAAAAAAGCCTGATTATGATGAAATTTTGACCGGTGATAGGGCCTCGCCAACGTAACAAGCTTTTTCCATAGGATTAAGAGATATACGCCACTTAAACACAGAAGCGAAGCCGAGCTTCGTACCACTGAAGATGTAAAAATGATCAACAGGAAAACAAAGAAAAAAATTCAAATCTGATTCGAATTGAAATCGAAAGGTTGGGAAAATATCACGAAGCCAAAAAACAATCATTACAATATAGGCTATTTGTTGCAATTAGATGAATAAAGAAATAGATGGAAATTGTGGGGAAATTAAGCCAACATTTTCAACCGGAACCTCGTAGCCAAAAAATTTCAAAAAATGGAGAATTTGGCGTTGTGCCGCATCTTTAGTGATGGTGCCCAACAATCAAATGATTGCGGGTTCCCCGTGTGCAGTGCAACTTACAAGTTGAGCACTTGTAGCATAGCCATAGCTTAGTTATCCTTAAAGAATTCATCTTCGGGTTGCCTCTGGCTGGTTAACTAAAAAAAAAGAAAATTGATATAACAAAAAATTGTATTGCAAACATCCACTCTAGGCCAACAAAATACCTTTAAGTGCTCCATATTAGTTATTTGAGAGAAAATAGATTCAGCAAATAAATGACAAAACCCCACAAAAAATCAAAAAAGGCAAGGATAGCCGGTTACTGTGCAAACAGCACAGAACTTTCCGACCACAGTCTTACAAAAAAATACAAAACAAGTTGTTTCAAATTAGTGTCGAGAACTTGCATCCAAAACTACAAAATATGAAAACAATATTTTACACAGAGGCGAAGCTGCGCTTCGCAAGCACTTGCAAGAACACGACCAAAAAGCAGCTCTATCAATTGACATAAGAAAAATATAAATAAGCCTCGAATTTGCAAAAACTCGAGACTTAGCAAAACTTGATTTAGCGAAATCTGCGACCCAGCAAATTTGAGTCTCACGCACTAACCATTCAACCACGGATGCTTAAAACCCCCAAGAACTAGCCACCAATAATGCAGCTACATGTGCTAATAAATTGCCAATTCGGTGCGGCAAAAGTAGCATCAAACACAAAAAGATACAATTTTGCATGCAAAAAAATGCAAATGATAAAGCCACATTATGTATAAATTATGCATTTCAAAAACTTGCGAGATATATTAAGCTAGAAAATTTCTGAAATCGAGATTGCATTATTGTTATGTTGTTTGCGACAAATAGCTTTCTTCGTTTCACTTCATGAATTAAAAATGCATCAACTGTGTAAATTTATAACTATTCGAATGTCAAAGCACATGTTATCAATAAGCTGTAAAGGTGCAACTAAGTTTCAAAGGTACAAAAAATATATCAAAATATCTTATTGCCAATTAATTCGATTCAGCAAATTCGACGCAGCAAATATTGTTGTTTTAAGTCGCAACAAAAATTGCGGCTTAGTCGCCGCAACATTATTTGCGACTTAAGTTGGGAAAAAAAGAAATTTCGTACAATAACACATTGCTTCGCAAGTGTAATGAACCATTAGCCCTAAAATAAGTGCTTGGAAATGAAGCCGACATTAAATAAGCACAAAAAACACGAACGAATGCTAGCAGCAACCTTAAAACATTTACAAACAAAACACAAAACGTAAGTTTTTTCTTTAGTATTCTGAAACTTTAAACCTGAATAGCGTAAAACAAAAAAAAATAACTCTATCTCCTGTAAACTTATTATGTAATTTATTAATTTACTTAGCCGAGTAACTAAAAAAGTCAAAAGAACTATCTTCACTTTTTTCATTTTTAATGAGGGCCTGCGAGGGCGATTGTGAATTTTCGAACTTGCTTTTCCAAGTTCAGTTAACCAGATACATATATTCAACATTTACATAGAAACCATCTACATTTACGATTTCTCATTTTCGCCCTTCTGTTAGCAAATTTGTTTAAGGGAAAAAGTAACCCATTACAATACTAGCTATTCGCAAGGGTAACCAAACAAAAATGAATTGAAAAAGCTAAATTTCCAACAATTGAAAACTCGTCTCCGAAGAAACTTACTGGCGTGTAAGTGTTGCATGCTAAAATGTAGCTTCCTCACAAGAAAAAATACACGAATAACTCTAAATTTTCATTAAAGGATACAGAACCAGTAATTTTGACTAGGAGAAGAAGAAAACGGACTTCTTCACCTCTTCCATGTCCAAATCACCCACTGGGGGAATATTTTTCAATAATTTTGTCAGTCTGTCTTTTCGCCTATCGTCTTTTATAACAGGCAGCAAATTATTAGTCACGAAGTCCGCGAAATTCTCTAATAGCGGCAGTTTATGTAGGTTTATAAACTCTTCGCGACATATTTTGTTCATGTCATCAACATCACACGCATGCGTCCAAAAACAATCATGCACGTGGGCAAAAGTGACTCCTTGTTTGAAACAAGAGCGAGCTGTCAACAACATGTGAGTTGCGTCCAAGCTGTGGATGTAGTTTGGCGGAAAAGCGTTCTTGTGTTTAGCAGCCGCCGGAGTTCTAACTATATTTAACGTCGCCATGTTATTCGTCGGACTGTTGATGAAGTTTTTATTTGACATACGCTTGGTGTAACTTTGAATGACTTGCAGGCCTAAAGGAGTCACCCATTGAACTGGCAACCCGGCCTTGGCAATTTCATTTGCGATTTCTCTGAGCCAGGTTTTGATCTTTCCAGTCGACACAAAAAGATCTCCAATACTCGCGAAGACAAGATTAGTAACATATGAGGTCGCCAGTGACAGTTCCTTCGAATCAAGGGCTTCGGTTTCCTTTAAGCGGGCTCTTATTTGCAAAATGCCTCCATAATAAGTGACGCCATAAACTTGAGTCATCACAGTCTGCTTGACGACCTTTCGGTTAACCAATGGCTCTACCAGTTCCGCAATGTCCCGACAGTCATCCCGCTTTTCTTTCCGGATCTTCTCCAGCACAATATCGCACACGGCTCCGTACACATCTTGAGGGACTTCAGAGGGTAAAACGTTCACGCTTTTGGCACCGCTTACGTCACGTCCCAATGCTGCATAGTGTTGCAACCCGTTGCAGCACCCGTCTTGATGTACCGGCAAATGACATATGAAATCTTCGGGGTTAGCTAACTTGGTCGCTTTCGAAAGTTCACAACAAGCAGCAAGAGCTTGAAAAGGTTCATCTAATGTTGTCCACCATTTCAATCCGGCCAAAGGATTTCGAGCAGAGTCCAGAATTAGAGGCAGATGTGCGTCGATGAAGCCAAGTCGCTCTTCATACGCCATTTTTTTGCATTCTCCTGTCAAATTAGCTAAGTGAAGCTTCAGCCAAGTTAATCCTTTGGAACCAAGAGGTTTCCCCTGAGCAAACAAGAACAGGGCGCGGGTTCGATCGTCACAAATATGGTTGAAAACAGGTGGGATGTCGTAGCATCGTCCTCTGAAGTCAATATTGCTGGGCAACCAAAATGCCTTCTCATCTTTGACTAAATTTGCAATGCTCAGTTGGTACAAAAGCGTCATCCGTAGAGAAAAGTTTTCCCTAATCACCTTTCTCATTAAGCACTGTTTAAGATAAGGATTAAGATCATCTTCCTCAGCCCAGGGTTCGTTTTCAAGGTAGTACTTCTCGCATTCGTCTTCCGACAGTGGAATCTCCAGGTCTAAATTTCCACCTGAGCGAAACAAATGCATTACAACGTCTAAAACATTCTTGTTGATTTTCCAAGGAACCGACGAAAACGTGAACACGCTGTCCAGAAAATTCATCACATCCGAATTGCCCGCCGCAATTTTCCGCTTGAAGTCAGTCATATTGGCAAGAGAAGTGTCATCTCTGCTATCTCTCATGAACATGGCGGGACTTGAAAGGTAGCCGCCGTGATTCTGGCTGACCCAAGGAACTGGGGGTACCAACGAAGGAACTGAAGTGGATAACATCACAACTTTTCCGCGATTCAATTTGCGAACCAACTTGGCAAAATATTCATGAGGAGACAGATGTATGTGCGTATGCATTGAATTTAGGTTTTTCTTGTCACTGAATCCTTTGGGCATAGTTGAGATGTAGCGACAAGAAAAACAGGGTACCATTGTCCAGCCAATGGAACCATTTTTACTCGAGAGGTAAAACAACCCAGCATCTTGAAGCGATTGTTCAGTTTGCTTGCTTAGAAACTTCTCCACAAAGCTGAACGGAAGCTGAAGTTTTTTGAGCATCAAATGAACAAGAAACTGCGAGACATCATGGCACATTTTTTTGGGCCAAGGTTCAGGAAAGGCATGGACGCCGGGACCCAAGTCTGAATTTTTATTCTGCAGTTCGAGCCATAAATCACTAGCCGTCATTTTAGTAGCAACGTTTCGATCATAGAACATTTTAGCATATTGGGGGTAAATTTGTTCAATTTTTTCAATGTACTGAAAAGACCGTAGATACTGGTGGTAGTAGCTATTAAACAGATACTGTTCAATTTCTCGATACAACTCATGGAAAGGAACAGAACTATCTTTGCCTCCAACTGAAAATGCGATATTGATCAATTGCTCGATCAAAATTTTCAAATCCAAAACTTGTAGAATTTGAAAAATGTCTTTCGAAATGTCAGTTGAGCTCTTCCTAGAATGAAGCTCTTCTACAATCGCTTTGTAGAGCGCTTCCCTCCACGAGTCTAAAATCGTCTCCAGTTCTACATTCAGAGCCTGGTTGTCGTTTTTTGTTGCCGCACAGCTGGCTGCATTTGTTGACAGCGGTATTGTGGAAGTTTCCAGAGAATCCATGGTGACATTAATTTTGGACTCCCGTCCCAGCTGTCGGTGCATGTTATCTACTAGCTCCTCATGTGAAATTATATCGGACAGGTCAAGTTGAGGGGGAACTTTTTCTGAGTTCAACGGGATGCACCTATCGTCACTTGGCAGCATGCTGTACAAAACTTGGTCAGCACTGAACAAAGAGCCCAATTTATCATCAG